GGGGCGCGGCTCGGATTCCGGCCCGGCCACAGCGGCCGCCTCCCTGACCAGGTGAATGGAGCTGTGCGTAGGAAGGAGCGTGGCAGGGCGCCTCCGACTCTGGGCGGGGGCGGGGGCGGGGGTCCGTGGGTGTCGTACCGAGGTCATCGTCGCAGCAGCGCGCCCATTCAGACCAGCCGGCACGCGAGTTACCTTCGGCACTGCAGCACGGGCCCGGCCGATCAGCCGGCCGATAATGCCCTCTGTTTGGCTCCAGAAATAGTATCGGCCACGGTCCAAACGTGGCGGCGCTAAATATTTGCGCGCAGTCTCAACTGGACTTCCGCCGTTTACGCTGTGCTCGCTGGGGTCTGCGCCGCTCAGCACAGGCGGCTCGCCGTATTACATCAGTCAAGCCGGACCGGCGGCACGGAATATGGGTCGCAGGCCGGCGCACCGCTGCTGACAACGCTCAGCACACTCGGTCTTATCCGCTGCGGTCACCGCGATCCGGTCCCGATCCGTCAAAAGCCCACCACAAGCCGTACGTCTTACTGGCACCGCGATAATGCCTACAACGGGTTCAAAGTCGAGTTGCAACTAACACAGTCCGGCGCGGAGACAGAATGTTCCGACGGGATAAGTCACGGAACGACGATCAACTCGCAAAAAACGGCACAGCTCGAGCCGATAAACCAGACCAAAACAGAACAGTCTGAACACATCCACGTTCGCTGGCACATTTTCACCGCTGAGTCCGTACCCTTGGCGTCAGTGTCCTCGCCTGGTTTCAGTACAACAGTAAGGGCGCACAGACACCGTGTCCGCCCCGGCCGGGCGGCGCCGCCGGCCGCTGGCGGGCCCGGTTCCCACCCCGGCCATCGGCACCTCCCCCGCGCCGCCCCGGCCCCACCAAATCAGCGGCCGGCCGGCACCAGCCAGCCGCTGAGCCGTCAGTGACCGGCCAGACGTCCGTAACGTCCACCCGGCCACGCGCAACGGCCGGAAAATCGACCTTATGGTATTGCCACTGCACAGTGCACAACGGTGTAATGTGCGGAGTGTACAGGCCCTTGAATTGGCACTCATTCTAGATAAGACACAACCTCTTCGCGGTACGATCACACAAACAAAGGGCTAAGACGCGACGGCTAGAAGGAATGTCCTGGGAAGCGTGGAAACGGCAGCTTCACGAACCTATTACCGGATCTTGTCATGGTCATAAGTCATAACCAATGGCGACAATTGTGAACCTTCAGAGAAATTAAAAACTCGTAATAAATGGATCGACAGCTGACAACGTTCAGACATCGCCAAAGTGTTTGTTCAAGACGCACACAATGAATCGCGGAAATGTAAGCCGCCGTACCGCAGAACGCTCAGCCACTTGTGAACAGGGCGGATACCGTATAAACAGCTGCAGCGCTCACTACAGCAGTACAGCAGCTGAGCCCGGTCCACGGATTGGGGCCGCCCCGCCCCGCACCAACTGCGACGGTACCAGCCGACCGGGAAGGAAACGGCGCACCCAAGAGCCGTGCAAATACCACACTGTTATACCCGAGCCTGGCGCGTTGAAAACGAAATAGAATATCACCTACTCCATCAGAGGTAAAAGCGTAAGTATGAACACGATTTTGCACATAATCTTTTAAGAGTATCCCTGAGCCGAGCTTTTGGAGGAAAACTCGAGCGCATCTCTGTCGCACCATTCAGACAACAGCCATTCCTCCGATATACCGTGGACACCCTCTCCTGGTCACCAGTCGCCCGTCCCGGTCGCCCGTCCCCTCCCTAGTCCCTACCCCCGCAGCCGACCTCTGGCGTGTCTCGGCGGCCGCGCCACGCCCCTGGTCGCCGGCCGCCGGGGCTCGGTCACACTGCGCAGTGCACCGGGCGGGGTCGCTGCACTGCGCCACAGAGACACGGTAGCGCCCGGCCGGCCGGCCGGCCAGCGGACACAAACACTGCACATGGGCGCGGGACATGCCGCCGACGCGTGGCCGACGGCAGGGGGGGGGAGACAGCCACGAGCCCCGATTTAGAACTGACAGAGTGAAGAGCTTATAGAGTCGATCGCTACAGTTGCACGAAATTGTGCAGGACACTGCACGGAATACCTACTAAATTACGAGCGTATAAGTAAGTCAGACATTTACATCCAGGTGATTTACAACGTAAATTTCCATGCATTCACTAATGCCAACAAACGGCTAGAAGGAATCCGTTACAGAACGGTAAATTTCCGCCCCGCCGGCCCATTAATTTAGGGACGAAGGTCACCATATTGATACACTGTTTACCAGTTCCGCATTGACAAATGCGCAGCGACCGGTCTACATCGTGTTCAGCATAGCCTACGGCACGAGGTGATGGAAAATTACGTCATGCAAACGGGATGCGTCATACCAACGTAACGATCAGCGGAAAGTTACGAACGTGAGATCCTACCCCTAAAACCTCCAGTCGCCAAGATAAACAAACTTATCTGCAGACCGCATTACCCTGCCTAAAAGAGGACCCAGCGACCTCGATACACATACACGACGGAAAACCGTCTGCATAGATCATCAGTCTGCCTAGCTGCTCTCCAGTCCCGCGGAATCAGCAGGCTCTGAGCCCAGTCCCGGCATCCTCTGATCCCTTCCACACACACCCAGCCCCCGTCCATAGCGCACGGCACGGTTCGTCGGAAGGTCATCTCAGGCTCAAAAGAAACGGTATATACCATTCGAAAGCTGACGGCGAGCTGAATCTAAAAATGTATTTTTTATCAAAATCGATCGATGGCCTTTTTTGAAAATTGCGTTTTTGTAAAAACTTAATAATCTTTTATTCAACGGACTGTCCCGGACATTCTTGAAAACATAAACATGTATTTTTGAGTTCCAGTGAAAGCTGAACATCAAAAGAACAATATTTAGCGAAGCAATATTTCCAAACATTAATATGCGTCTCCCACAGCCCACAATAAGGCGCAATCACACAGCTCAGTGTCACGATGGACCAAAGTCAGCCACACAGAAGCGTGAAATGACCCTTATCGACTCGCAGACCCGGCGCTCTCGGCCCGCCTGACCGGCCACGGAAAGAACGTTCGGCTCTCGTTCTACTAAACAAATGTCATATTTGTCACTTTAACTGTCCACATCGCTATTAAAGTTATTCAGGATACCTGTGAAGAAAATTAATTGTTCTGCTCGATTTACAACATGCTTTAATTTACATTTTTCTTATGCGTGTTTTGTTCCATCCAGCTGCGATCAGTGCCCGCGCAGGGGAAGTGAGCGGGGTTTCACTGTCAGAGGCTGTACTGGTGACAGCTGCTCGGCCGTGCGACCGGTCAAAGGTTACCCTGCCCCGCCGGGCGCTACCCCCACTCCACCCGAGCTGAGGCCGGTGCAACCTCTGACATTTCAGCGCGGCCAATTTTCCTTATATGGGCATGATACCAAGCTCAATTGAGCAAAGTAGACATGAACAAATGCAAATTAATGCATGATGTGAAGATTACAGAACAATGAATTTTCTTCACAGGTATCCTGAATAACTTTGATAGCGATGTGGACAGCTAAACTGACAAATATGACATTTGTTTAGTAGAACGAGAGCCGAACGTTCTTTCCGTGGCCGGTCAGGCGGGCCGAGAGCGCCGGGTCTGCGAGTCGATAAGGGTCATTTCACGCTTCTGTGTGGCTGACTTTGGTCCATCGTGACACTGAGCTGTGTGATTGCGCCTTATTTTCGGCTGTGGGAGACGCATATTAATGTTTGAAAATATTGCTTCGCTAAATATTGTTCTTTTGGCGTTCAGCTTTCACTGGAACCCAAAAATACAGGTTTATGTTTTCAAGAATGTCCGGGACAGCCCGTTGAATAAAAAATTATTAACCCTAGAACGCCTACGGGGGGGGGGTTGTATCAACCCCCCCCCCCCCTGAGGTTTTTTCGAAGTGCACGCTAAACGGCTTGTCGTAGCGGGCTGAAATTTTCAATACCCTCTGGGGCAACCTTTGCGCATCTTTTGCCGAAAAAAAAATTGATCGGGTCATGTCAGGTCACGGAGTTATGACGTCATAAGAGGTACAGCCTCCGGCCGGATTTTCACAAACTGAGTGCCAACGCCCGAGGTTTCCTGCCGGTGGTACGGACATCGGTTGATGGATCGTGATGAAACTTCCCATGCTTGTTGGGGCAAGTATTGGCTATCATATGGTATAAGAAATTTGACCGGGTCAGGTCAGGTCACGGAGCTATGACGTCACAAGAGGAACAGCGTCCGGTACTATTTTTGAAAAGCGCCCGAACCACTATTTTGCTAATTCTTGTCACCTCAATGGGAATATGCAGAAATATTAGCTTCTATAGGGAGCAAATGGACCTCCCAAATCCAAAAATACAATCAGATTTCAAAAATTTAAATTTTGATTTTTCGAATTTCTGCCGCCGACTGTGACCTTGCCGACTTCCGGCGCTCCCAACGCGCCATTTTTAGAGCTAGGGAAACGAAATACATACCAAACGATAGAGAATTGATCAAGGAACACGATAGTGAAGGTTTCAAGTCGATATCTCCCACCGTTTTGCCGCAATCGCCGCCGAAAGTTGAAAAAAAGTCTATTTTTCCGAAAATTTGACCTTTGACCGGTCAAAAGAAGGTCAAATGTTGACCTAGGACCAAAAAATATACCACCAATCGCGAGATCTCGTTGAGAGCAATCCGTTGGTTTTTTCCGCTAAGCTCTACGACCTTCCGTTTCGAAACGGCAGGGGGGGTCGTAACAACCCCCCCCCCCCCCTGGTCGTTCGTGTTATGAGAAATGGCCTGGTCGTGCGAGGGTTAAGTTTTTACAAAAACGCAATTTTCAAAAAAGGCCATCGATCGATTTTGATAAAAATTACATTTTTGGATTCAGCTCACCGTCAGCTTTCGAATGGCATATATCGTTTCTTTTGAGCCTGAGATGACCTTCCGACGAACCGTGACGGCCCTCGCGTCGGTGACGGACAGTGGGACCCACCTATTGTTGTCGCCGTTCTTGTGCTGGTTGTTGGCCCGGTCGCCGGTCGCCTGTGACTGGATCTGCTGCTTGATCTTGGCCGTCGGCCGCTTCGGCCGTTTCTTCTTGGCCTGAATGGCGCGCACTGCGAAAACACAGGGGCGGCAGTGTCAGAGATGTAAAATGGTGGGCAGTAATGATAGATATGTGCCTCTGGTGACGAAAGGAACAATGGGAACTTATATAAAAATAGGGACATCATAGGATAGCCACAAAAGCAAACATAGGTGCTGCAGACGTGGAACAATAATATGTTATAGTCTGGATGTTTCGGGCTTATTTGCTGCTAGCCAAGACAAGTCCGATAAACGAAAGTGAGCTGAAACCATGACCAAGGCACCCAAGCGCAACTAGATATAGCACAATCAAATGCACAATTAAAAGCGTGAGAAACAAAAGAAATTCCATTCATCGTAAGGTTGGCTAATGGAATCTAACCCAGAAACGTAAACTGGGTCAACTCGGCATTTCACACAAATACTTTAATCTGATAAAGCCAGCCGGACCATTCATCTTCTAAAAACAAACTAACTGTAGCGTCACGACTGTCTGCTCCGCCACCTCGAGTAAGACGCCGCGCGGGCCATCGATTCCACCGCCCGTCACCGGTGACTGGCGTGACAATCCACTGCCGTCACAGACTCAGCCGAACGTCCCGCCGGACACGGCAGCGCACACGGCACGCCGCCCCAGTGACGTCAGAGCTGTGACGTTACTGGTATAGCCGCCGGGCCCATCCATCTCGGGCGCACCTGTCGCGCGCGGCGCTGGGCGGGTCCCGTTACCGCGGCCGGCCGGAGTCACGAGCTGAGGTGAGGAGGCGAGCGCAGCACCCACGGAGGCGGCAGGGCGGACCGAGGCGTGGGACCGCCGCCTCCGGGCTCCGACAGACCCAGAAACGGGCTGCGGAGAGATGGAGACTGGGAGTGGGCGGCGGGACGGCTGGCAGGCGGGAACAGCTGGGATACTGGGGCCACAGACATTCGGGGATGACGAATCGAGATAGAAAAGGCCAAAGGGTTCCTGGTCGGAGTCACAGAGATATCTTCCTTTGTGACAAGGACAGCGAGATTCAAGCATGGCTGAGGGACAGAGGCAGAAGGCCGAACAGACATGTGGGGACAGACGCAGCTGCGACGAGAGAAGGCGCTGGTATGGTCGGTATGGTCGAGATTCTAGCTTTGTCCCAGTAACAGCCTGGCAGCCACCCATCAGACAAGGTGTCGGCCTGTCTCCGGTCACGGTAGTCGAGCCGCCAGGGCCCTGGTGGCTCGACCTGCAGTCCTCACCCTGCAAAATGAGGACCGAGGACGCAGCGCCAGTCTCCGTTCTGCAGCTGGTGGTTCTGAAGGAGGCCGGGAGGCCGGGACCACGGGAGGAGGCCTGGACCACGGGAGGAGGCCTGGACCAGGGAGGAGTACCACGCGCTGTGTGTCGGAGCGTGGGCACCGGCCGAAGGACAAGTCGAAACATCGCGGAAACGTGGCACGATAATCGCGAATTGCTGCTCAAACTGGGGATACCAGCGCTCCGAAACAGCTCATTTTCATAACACGCACACAAAAAAAAACTTCTGACAGAGGCCAGAGCAGTCCCTCACAAAGTGCCATCACGAGCCTGATCAGCACACCGGCGGTCAGGTCGCAGTCTCTGCCTTAACACCTCAGCCCGGTATTCGTTCCGCCGCAGTCCGAAGTTGCTGCCAGTCACACGGTCCCGTACCGTACTGGCTCGCAAATCGCCGCCGCTCATCAGTCGGTGCGACTCGGACTTCGCCGGTGGTCCCGGCAGCGGCAGCCGGGCGTCAGCCGTGTGATCGCCGCCCCTGTCCGTAAACACGGACCGGTAGTCGGCCGGTCGGCGGCCCCAATACCGACAGACACCACCGGCGGCCGACCGGCGCCGCCCACCGTCCGACACACAAACTGGACAGGAGCCATTACCGCGTCCATACCCGCCTCTGGGAGCAGACGGGCTCAGGCATCGAGGTATGCACTCTCTGAATCAGCCATACTAGACCTCACACCAGACCGAGAGGCGAGAGCAGCCGCCTTCACCACCGCTGGCGCAGGCGCCGCCACCCAGTGATTCAGACAAACTGCGTACATTCGAGATACAAATCGCAAAACAGCGCTGTGTTGACTGCCAAAGCTCGGGTGTCCTTTCGTGTCTGTTCGTCTGTCTGTTTGCATATCTTTCCGTCCGCATCTTTGCACGGACCAGCCGTGCCTCGCGCCGTCCGGTCGTGTTATCCGTACACAATGCCAGTGCCCGGGACGGTGCTCCCGTCGTCTCCGCCGGCCGGTGCTGGCCGCTATTCCTGGTCGCTCACACAGGCGACACCAGCCGGCCCGGCAGGCGGCCGCCGCACCGCGCGCGCGCGCGCTGACGTTCATTGGCACCGGCCGACGCGCCGGCGACGGTCAAGGGCGGCCGTGGCGGCGCTGCGATACGGTGCTGACGTCACCACCGGCGCCGCAGGGGCAAAGACCGGCGGGGTACGGCTGGGGCCCGGGGACGGGGCACGGCTGGGGCCCAGGGACGGAGCACGGCCAGGGCTCTGAGCCGAGCTGCTGAGCTGAGCTGGGAGTGAGCTGTGGCCCCTACTCAGGGTGAACTCCCAGAGAACCACAGCTGTGAAAAACATGGCTACGACAAGAGAGCGATGGCAGCAGGGCTACTTTGACTGGCTGCGGTGTATATCGGCGAGCTACTCATCACCCAGGGCTGTGGGATCCAGCCCGCGCGTGGGAACCGCACGTCTCGGCCAGCGCCCAGATAGCGCACAGCACAGCTGGCACTCCTAGGAACGTCAGACACTCTGCTGAGGCCTTGGGCAGGGGTCGCGGGGTCGCGCGAGGTTAAACGGTCTGCTGCGGCGGCCAGCGGGTCACCACCTCTGGTGACGCCAGACGAGGCGCGCCGCTCTCCTCCTCTCGGCTGGCGCGCGGCCGCCTCCCGGGCCGTCCGCCGGCCGGGCCGCGGTAACGGATCGGCGGCATCACCGGCGGCTCGCAGGCCGCTGACGGTGATTCAGACCGCCGGACCGGCGCGGCGGACCGGAGCCCAGCCACCGCCGCCGGACGGCACGCACCGGCTGACCGGAGTCGGACCTCCAGACTGGACAGACGGCTTGATCCGTCTCCAGCGGGAGTCGGGACAGAGTCTGATGATCCGTCCACCTACAACAGACTTACCACACTGTGCTCTGTGGGCCACGCTCACTCTGTTAGAGACGCATCCACCAATCTCAGACGGGAGCGGTGGGCCGATCTGCCGGGCTGGACCGGGCCGGGCCGGCGGACGGTCGATCAGCTGAGCGGAGACGGCCGACCGGGCGGGTCTCACCGCCGGCCGGTGGAAGGATAGACCGGGAGCGCGAGATGGCCAGCCAGCCATCGATGAAAGGCCCGCAATGGACTGACTGGATGGTGATGGGGTACCTACTGGTAGATCTCACTCTGATGTCAATCAATAAAGATTAATGACATAACTGGGCCAAAAGATTACAAAAGTGTCCATAGAGATCTACAGGAACAAAGCAATTCATCAAAGTATGCATCAGCTTTCACAATTTGACTTCTATTGAAGGTATACTTCAGCAATCAGGATCTTGTAGCTATAGAAACCAGTAATCTTGGGCACTATATACCTAGGTAATACACTGTTTTTATCACACAAGATCCCAAATAGCAGCCAAAACTAGCACTATACAAATGTCATATTACTTGGTAATTCATTTTGTTAGTTTATCAAGTTAAGAGTAGCCATTACGTAACTCTAAGGGCATCACCATGTTATAACTCCCCTACTGAGAAAAGGACATAATGCATAGGTACCCAGTGTTATAAAAAAATAAGCATATAACTTAAGGTAAAGTAAAAAACCATCCAATCATTGCAGGGACTTAACATGTTTTCAAGTTATCCTAAAAATTATGTACATGATTCTACAACTTTGACCTTTAAAAACATGCAAACAAGGCATTGTAAAATGCAAACAAACTCTTCAGCTTGGAAACATGCTATAGGTAGGTAATTCATATTTATAGCAGACACCTTATGAAGGATCACAACTGGGTCTAACACTGCTTGAATCCATCATAGTTGACAAAATCCTCAGTGAAACACATCATTGCCAGCATGAGCTGTGGCACTTTGTTCTCATTAGCTGCAACATTTCCTACTGATGGAAGTTTTAGGGAGATCAACTTGAAAGAGGCTGCCTGCAGGATGTCAAAATATAAACATTATCTTTCTGATGAATTTCAAAAATAAATAAACAATAATCAAAGGGATATCCAAGCATCAATGATAACACTCTTCCCCCCTCCCCAAATGACCAACATTTTATATCCTAGAGCAGCCAAAAACAGCATAAGCAAGCAACTCCTCACTGCACTATGCATCCTAATCTCTAACTGAACCAGATAAGGGTATCATCATATTGAATTCAAGGCAGTGATCTGATAATGGCTATGTTAGAGTTACATGTAAGTTGACATCTATGATCTAGCATGGGTATTGACTTTTCCTGATAAATATTTGGTAAGTGCCTATCTAGAACTTAAGTTTGCATGTTATATGTAACACCTAGCATATTTAATTTTTCATTAAGTATTAGGTAAGTGCCTTAAACTTTAGTTTATTTGCTTCACACAATGAATATAGCACTGAAAATATATGTCACTTAAAGGAAATAGTTCACTTTCACGAAATTATTTTTTTTGCAATGGATTTATGATTTTTTATGTTCAAAATGATCAGCAAAGAAAATAAAACCTAATTATAACAAAAGATTATTTTCTATATTTTGATATAGGAAGAACTTTTCAGTTTCTGTAAGGCACACGCGATCCAGTATGAAAAGAGCATGGGTCCCGAAAATTCTTCAGAACCTAGAGAAATTATCGCGGCCACCGGCATTTGGGCGATCTGCTGCTGCTGAATGTCCTTATTGATCAGTACGAGAATTTCTCTAGAGTTCTCGTAGATAATTTCTCTAGTTTCTGAAGAATTTTCGGTACCCATGCTCTTTTCATACTGGATGGAAATATATGCAAGGCACACATCCTCAACGCAAGACACCTTTTTCGGGACGAGAAATAGAATATCTTTGCCTAGGGTGATCGTTGGGCTGTAAAAGCTCCTGATTTATGCTCGTCTCAGCCCAGGCTACGGAACTGCTATTCCAGTTCAAAACCCATGTTAAAAAGTGAACTATTTCCTTTAAAGGGACCCTCCCACCTTAACATTAGTTTTGAGTTGAGATAGCCAAGTTTGCGGCCAGGCTCAGAAACCACCATTTATCCTGGTCGCAACCCCCGCAGCTTTATGGTGTTCAAGAAATTTCTTCCCTTTACTTGCAGGGTGGGACCAGCTTGGTCCCTATCTCTTAACCATTATGGGAATCTGATGACGTCATCAGGCTTTCGAACGTCCGTTAAATGTTTGACTAAAACGTTTTGTAGCACGCGGTGGTATATGCTGCTTTGCGCGCAACAAATGCCGCACTTTCAAATAAAGTCGCTAGGAACAGCGGAGATCCCAAAAAGTAAACAAAAGTAAAAGTCTAATATCTTGAAAACCGGTGAATATTTTTCGATGAAATTTGGTAGATATTCGTTTTTGCTCTTTCTGAACCGAGCGACATCACTTTCATGCCAATTCATTAACTTTTTTGAAGGTGGGAGGGTCCCTTTAAGACAAATGTGATGTTATACTGATACCTTATAGAACATGCTGAAGCTATGAAAAATCACAAACTGGTAGCTCCAGCAGTAACTGGTGGAACGGGATTCAACATGTCATTCTACAGTATCAGCAAGCTTAAAGGGACCCTCCCACCTTCAAAAAAGTTAATGAATTGGCATGAAAGTGATGTCGCTCGTTTCAGAAAGAGCAAAAACGAATATCTACCAAATTTCATCGAAAAATATTCACCGGTTTTCAAGATATTAGACTTTTACATTTGTTTACTTTTTGGGATCTCCGCTGTTCCTAGCGACTTTATTTGAAAGTGCGGCATTTGTTGCGCGCAAAGCAGCATATACCACCGCGTGCTACAAAACGTTTTAGTCAAACATTCAACGGACATTCGAAAGCCTGATGACGTCATCAGATTCCCGTAATGGTTAAGAGATAGGGACCACGCTGGTCCCACCCTGCAAGTAAAGGGAAGAAATTTCTTGAACACCATAAAGCTGCGGGGCTTGCGACCAGGATAAATGGTGGTTTCTGAGCCTGGCCGCAAACTTGGCTATCTCAACTCAAAACTAATGTTAAGGTGGGAGGGTCCCTTTAAGGAAGGCTAGCTTTAAAAGCTGACAAATAGCTGACAAAACAAATGCCCCTACTTTTACGAGCAAAATTATGTATAAAGGTACCTACCGCAGGGCGCAGAGCAAGATTGAAATAGCAATTTCCTCAATAAAATGCATCAAAATAAATCCATGAAATACAAAATGCAAAAACAGAATGGATTACCTTTACGATTCACTGCTGAATTCATGCCAGGCATGGCGATTCCTTATCCTTTGTCTGCGCGAGCACAGCAACAGGAGGGAGAATTAGCACTGCGCACAAGCTGGGCTCCTTTTACACGAAAAGTTTTATGCACATAAGTGCATCACAAATCTTGTGCCCGGTATGACAGACGTTAAAAGTTAATAACAATTTATTTCGCCTCAGTTTTCCACCGTATCGCGCTACACCCCTCAGCCTCACACATCCACAATCCAAACGCACGCTCTCCGCTTTCTGTCCGATCTCCGCACTTCGCTATTTGCTGCCGTCTATCTCCAGAAGCAAATTTGGCAGCATGACGTCACTGGCTATCAAAACAAGATCAGGCTGCTAATTTATTGTGTAAAGCTCGGGCCATTGTGCACGGCCTTCCTTGTATTGTTTGAGAAAGTTTGTGCCAGTTAATTCTAGAAAACCAAAATTTTCTCACATTTGCTTTCGCTTACATGTCGTTTAAAGAGTTTCGTAGTGTTGATTGATCGTTAAAGGGACACTCCCACCTTAACATTAGTTTTGAGTTGAGATAGCCAAATTGGTGGCCATGGCCTGCAAATACCGGTTTGGGCACTCACAACATCGACAAATGCTTTAATTCGGAGATATGGAATTTCAAACTTGCAGTTTTCGGATTCTAAGGGGCTAGTGCATTGGTATGCCCCCTTAGAATTTGTGACGTCAGCGGAGATCTAACGATTTTTAAATCTTTTACTAAAACGTTTGGTAGCACGCGGTGGTATATGCTGCTTTGCGCGCAACAAATGCCGCACTTTCAAATAAAGTCGCTAGGAACAGCGGAGATCCCAAAAAGTAAACAAAAGTAAAAGTCTAATATCTTGAAAACCGGTGAATATTTTTCGATGAAATTTGGTAGATATTCGTTTTCGCTCTTTCTGAACCGAGCGACATCACTTTCGTGCCAATTCATTAACTTTTTTAAAGGTGGGAGGGTCCCTTTAAAACTTGTACACGTATGGTCACTTTTCGGATTATTCTCTGGGATAATAATATCTAACTCACAAGTCCATATATTTCGGATGATATTGCTCACCCTTGGTCACTGGACAAAATAAAAACAATTACATGTATGAAAAACCACACACCAAAATTATTCCCTAGACGGGTTACATTTTTCAAAAATATATCACTTGCCAAAAAACTGACACGGTCTTTTAGCTTGCATGTTCCTCTACATAACAAGTAGTGTAACCAATCTTCTAAGTTCTACATATACCTATGTAGAACCTATGTAGAATATACCTATGTAGAAGTATAGGTAGTAGGTATCCATAGGTATATGTAGAACTTAGAAGATTGGTTGCACTACTTGTTATGTAGAGGAACATGCAAGCTAAAAGACCGTGTCAGTTTTTTGGCAAGTGATATATTTTTGAAAAATGTAAAGGCCTGGCTACACTATGCGTTTTCTTCGTGCGTTTTTTGCGTGTTTGCGTGTTTTGCGTGATATCGTTCTAGAAAAAGGAACGATATTACGCTTTTGCGATGTTTTTCACCTTAAATTTTAGTTACATAAGAGTTATATTAGCTTTTGTATATAACCAAATAAAAATTACATTGTTTATAACTTTTTTCCTAGAACGATATTACGCAAAACACGCAAACCTGCAAAAACGCACGCAGAAAACGCATAGTGTAGCCAGGCCTTAACCCGTCTAGGGAATAATTTTGGTGTGTGGTTTTTCATACATGTAATTGTTTTTATTTTGTCCAGTGACCAAGGGTGAGCAATATCATCCGAAATATATGGACTTGTGAGTTAGATATTATTATCCCAGAGAATAATCCGAAAAGTGACCATACATAACTAATTTCCTGGGAAAAAATGACTTTAAAACAACAACTTGTACACTTTTTGTCCAGGTCATTTACTTTTCATGTTCTGGGTATAATACAGCAATGCCTGTGCTCTCACCTGGTTCTCTCACCTGGTAGGGTTCTCCTTGCCTAGCAGCCATAAGGATATGGTAGTAGACATGATGGGAACCCATGATCAGAGGACACGCCAGTTCACCAACAAACATTGCCCGTCGTCTGTCGCTGTGGTTTAACTGGATTTGATGTGTCCACTGGTAACATGTCTGTGTAGAACAATCACTGATTTCCTGATAATAAATGCTTTTAACAAGTCGTTGAGGTGAGTTGAGTGAGTTGGAACTCACTCAGCAAACTTGTACAGGTCATCATGTATCGCTCGAGACAATGCAGTTTTGAAGGTGCTCAGGCTTCCTGCGGCTACTACATTATCAGGCAGTCCGTTCCAGAGGGCTACGCTTCTGTGTGAAAAACATCGCTTGCGCACATCTGAGACCGCTCGTGTTACATGGATTTTGAAGCGATGCCCTCTAGTGCCACTATGAGGAGGCCGAGTGAACATATCCTCAGGCTTAATACAGCTAAGATCATGGAATATTTTCCAATATTGGATTAGATCAGCTCTCAAGAGCCTACCTTGCACTGAGTACAAGTTCAGTTCACTCAGCCTCTCTCCATAGGACAATCCCTCGAGACCTCTGATATTCCTAGTCCACATGCGCTGTACCCGTTCAAGTTTCCTGAGATCCTCTTTGTACCCGGTGTTCCATAAACATGACGCATATTCTATCAACGGTCTGACATGTGTTGTAAGCAAAAACATCATAAATTCAGGTGTTCGGCACACAGTTGACTTTAAGAAGCTCTGACAAAGTCCAAATGCTTTGTGCGAAACAGAAGATACATGTTCATGAAATTTGAGCCTGTCGTCTACCAGCAAGCCTAGGTCGCCATGAGCCTTGCGGGTCGGTAAAGGGCTGCCATCCAAAAAGTACTCTGGAGGAGCCTGCTCTCTAGAATTACGAGTGAAGCGCAACACAGCACATTTGTCTCTGTTTAAAGTCAACCCCCAAGACTCGGATGTACGGTGCAGTGTGCAAATATCTGTTTGAATGGATTGAGCAGCACCAGGACAAGCATCTGACATAGGTGGATTAACACATGCATATAGCTTCAAGTCATCAGCGAAGATCTTATAACTAGAAGTTAAATTCGAGCCGATATGGTTTATATATATAAGAAATAACAATGGACCAAGCACAGAACCTTGAGGGACCCCGCTTTCAACTGGTCTGTAGCTACTGAGCTGACCTTTTACAGCAACCTGCATTTCCCGTCCTTCCAAGAAACTGGCGATCCACTTTAATAGTTTCCCATCAATACCAATAGATTTCAGCTTGTCAAGCAGGATTTTATGACAGACTTTGTCAAAGGCCTTACTGTAGTCAAACAAGATGAGGTCCACTGTCTTCCCTGAGTCAACCAATCTGTAGATTTCCTCATATACCAGTAGCAATTGCTCAACCGTTGATCTTCCCCGTCTAAAACCAAACTGGTGGTGGGACAATATGTTGTGTTCACTCAGGTAGTCCATCAGATGATCAGCAATCAAGTGCTCGAGAGTTTTACAGCATATAGGAGTAAGACTCACAGGTCTATAGTTAAGGGGGACAAATCTGTGACCTTTCTTGAAAATGGGTATTACCACTGACCTTTTCCATGCCTTGGGAACCAAACCCTCGCCCAAGGAGCGCTTGAAGATTACGCTCAGGGGGCGGGCTAGCTGTTTAGCACAATTTTTCAACACCAGAGGGTGAATACCATCAGGCCCCATGGCAGTACTAGAATCAAGTGATAACAGCCTTGCTTCAACACCTTCAACAGACACATTTACAGGGTCAATGTGTTCATCATGTACCTGATGTGGCTCTTGACGTGTTGGGACAACTTTGCAAAACACGGATGAAAAGGACGAGGCTAAACATTCGGCCATGGCTAATGGGTCAGAGCAGAGCTCTCCACTTGGGAGCCTAAGAGGGCCCACCGATGAAGGATTAGATTTTTTACTGCTAATGTATGAATGGAGGAGCTTAGGGTTTTCCTTGAACCTGTCAATGAGGCCATTCTCATACTGCGCACGTGACTTGACTTCAAAACACCTCAAATCCTTATTAATAGTAGCAAATGATGAAAAGGCCTCCATTGCTGCTGAAGACTTGCGCCCACTGCACAGTCTCGCCCTTTTATATTTTGCCCACGCCTTTTGTTTAACTCTGATCAAGCTGGGAGGCGGAATTGTTCGCCATGGTGGCTTGTCTTTTGCTTGTACTTTCTTACGAGGAATGCATTCTTTGATACTGGTTTGGACGATACTTGCAAACTTATCAAAAGAACTACAAGCATTTAGATGAGCAAGTTCAAACCTCCAGTCAACCTCAGAAAACATGGCATTCAGTCTGAGATAGTTACCTCTGTGCCAAGCAAAATTTTCCTGGCCAACAGCAGCTCTATCAGCATGATCCCCTTCAAACACATAATCAAAGAGCACTGGGCAGTGGTCGCAAGCTGGCAGCGGTTCAACAGCGTCAACCCTCCCCACCCTGTCCTTCTCCGTTGTCAATAGAAGGTCCAAAGTATTTCCTGAACTGGGGAATGTCGGCACTGACACCCACTGCACCAAGCCGCAGGATGTAAAAACATCCAAGAACATGGAATCCAAAGGAGGCATATGATTCGATGAGATTATCTGTGATGTCCATTCTATGTTAGGAAGGTTAAAATCCCCTAGTATAATCATTTCCTTTCCAGAAATGACTTCCTGCAGCACGCATGCAAGTTCATCATTTTCTGCAGCTGAGTACGAAGGTGGCCGATAGACCACGAGAAAATAAACATCATACTTGGCCAGGCGGAATAATAAAGCATTTGACATTGGATAACTGACCTTATCAATTAGTATATCTTCATGTACAAAAGCACAAACTCCATGTTTGTGAACATGGCCTTTGACATCACTTCTTATCAAATTGAAATGAGGAACCTTAACAAAAGAACTGGCTACAGCTGATGTTAAATGGGACTCTGTAATACACAATACCATAATATTATTTTTCTCAATAAAGTTTATTACAGAGTCCATTTTAGTGCTCAAACCTTTAACATTTACTGTGCAGCACTTCAAAACAAAGTGTCGTGACACAGGTGTCAGGCCACTCAGTTTACCTGAGCATTCCCTGATGGGGATGTGGGAGTGGCAGGGGCTGGTGCTCTGTGGTGTGAGTCACCCTCACCACCACTAAGCACTGCAGCTGGGGCATCAAGGGCCTGAGAGGGAGCAGCAGGAGTTGAAACCTCAGCCACTGTGTCAGCAGCCACATCAGTACTAGCTCCAAGTGATTGGTTCGGAGCAGGTGGGGG